CGTTTTCTGATTATGCTTCTTACGACAATTGGTAAGTTTATACCGAATAGAGAATAAATTAAAGTTACGTTTGATACCTTATAATATAATTTAATTATAGAAAACATAATATTATAATATTTTTTATATAAATAAAATAATAATTAAAATTCATAAAAATAATATTATAGGTTTATTTTACAAGTATTTTATTGAAAGTATAATAGTAATTTTTGAAATTATTTTATTTATTAAAATATAAATTTAATATATTTATTTTTTTATTATTAATTTTTACAATATTATTTCTTAAATATATTTTTAATATTATATTTTTTTATTTCGTATTATAATTTTATATATTTTATTTTTATTTTTTAATATAATTTTCCATATTATATATTTTTTTCATTTATTTTTCTTTTAAAAGATAATATAAATTTTATTAATGATTATCATCTATCATCTAATAGAGTATGACTACTGAAAGTAACAAAGAGGTTATTTTTGAAATTTATATAAATAAAAAAATTATAATATTGTAAACTATTTTTAACAAAGAATAAAAATATATTTAAAAATATTACAAAATGTAATATAATATAATATAATTGTATTGATTTTAAATTACAATTTTATAGTGTAATAATTTATTATAAAATAAATAATATAATATAATTTAATTATAAACATTATAAAAAATATATTACCATTTAACTTACAGCAAACACTACCGAATATCATATTACATTGATTAACACGGCTTGCGACTGCTTCAGATGTCTTTGTGTGGCCAGAAAAGGAAGAGATGTCTTTATTAGCAACTAAGGCATAAAGACCAAATTCTCTTGGATCTTACTTTTAGAACTCAATATTATATAATTTTTCTAACGACTTTATAACTACTCTTCGAACTACTATATTTACTAAGTAATATGAGTATTTAATGTATTAAAATTTCATAACATTCACTATCAATTATTAAATTTAATATAAATTATTATTATTATAATGAATATTTTAACTAATTTTTAAAAAAACACAAACACTCCCTAACAAAATTCTAGTATCCTGAGTAGCCGAAAACAGTTTGGTTGCTTTGCCTAATTCCTCTTACTATTCATTGTTCACTACCATTCATCTTTAAAGAGAAGAATTATTTGGTCGATGTGAGGAATTAGACCTATAGATTTATTTTTTTATTATAAGATTTATGTAACACGTATTTTTTGTACATAAATATTTGACTCAATGTATATAACTACAAATATATCTATATGCGTATCTCTTTATAAATAATCGCCTTTGAATTCTCCAATAATCAACATCCAATCAATAAATTCACTTACATGTCTTGCTTAGTTCCTGTCTGATCAACTGGCAAGAGCCAACAAAAAATAGCTATACGACGGAGGACCAGAGGGAGAGATGGACGTTAGGGCACGTGAAATTATCTACAAGCTTTTTTGCCTACTCTGGCATCCAGTGCAAAATTTGCAATTGGCATAATTTTCAGATTTTATATATATATTACAATTGGAATTAGTGGACAAATTAAGCCTAATGTCATTGTGCTGTTGGCCTACCTACTCAATTATTGGCTAATTTATAATTACATTTTTTAATACTTTAACAAAATGGCAAATAAGCACTTTTTAGTAGACAATGATGAGGTGGCAACAGAGTAGGATATAATTAGATTGGTAATTTTCTACTGATAGAACCATGGAGCATGTGTAGAGAGATGTGAAATACGTATTTGATGAGTAAAGTTATCATTAAAAATTATTAATCATGCATACAAAGATAATAATTAAAATAAAGCAATTTATTTACTAATTTAATATATTTAATTTTATCTTATTCATAAGTATAGCCTTAAACAATTACTACTTTACAACAACTTCTTGGAAGGAGAATTTTACTAAAATTAAGTTATGAATTTTCCTTCTATAAAAAAAATTTTAAAAAAATTTTATACAAAAAATCCAATTTAGATGAATAATTTACACTATGTTAAAATAAAATAATATAAAAAGATTAGATAAAATTTTTTATTTTATTTATAATAGTATAAAATTTTAAAATTTATTTAATTTAGTTTTTAACTTGAACTGAACTAGAATAAGCAAAATAGGTTAATTTAGTTATAACTTTCACAATTTATAAATATTCATTCTTTTGGAATTATTTAACCCTTATCTAATTTACTTTTTATTTAAATTTACTCAAAGGTTCTTATAAAACCATTTCATTTAAATTTAAATACCACAATCAAATTATGTTAAGTTTAAATTTAAATTATTAATTTGGATCTATAAAAAATTTGTAAATACAAAATAAAATTGTATAAATATTTACAATTATATTTAACTTTATCAATCATAAATATAATTTATAATTCAAGAAATTTCAACCTAAAGAATATAACTTTAAATATTAAATAAAATAGAAACATAAAAAATAAATAAAAAATTAAAAGAGTGGATCAAATCAGATTCTATGGTTGTAATAAAAAGTTTGTTACGTCCAAATTAAGCAAGTCAAAATGAAGAATTATTTTTATAATTATCGCTAACTACATATCTCCCTTTTTCATTTAAAAAAAAAATAAATCAACTTATTTTACTAATTTGAGTTTAGTTAAAGTTAAAAACTAAATCAAACAAGTTTCAAATTTTTATACTATTATAAATAGAGGTGAGTAAAACCAATTTAAACCTATTACCCATTCAAATCAAATGTTATTTGGATAAAATTGTCCAGTCTAATTGGTCCATTGGATTAATTGGTTCAAAATATTTGATCCAATTGATTTTTTAGTCAGTTATCTATTTAAAATTTTTTGGACCAATCCACCTAAAAAATCAAAATAATCTTTTATATATTCATATATAAAATATTTTTTGTATATATTAAGAAGACTTGATAGTAAAATTAATTAATAATTTACTTAAAATATATTAGGGTATTATATGTACATAGACAAATTATAATCATAGTAATTTAATATTAGATATATATTTATTTATAAATATGTATTAATGTGAAATTACAAGTTATATATTTTAAATGATGTAACTTATATGTCAATATTACAATATATGATAGTAAATATTCTACATATTAATATATTATAATTATTACACTTTAGTAATGTTTCGTAATATAAAATGTTATGAATATACATATAATTGTATAAATATATTATATATACATATATTTAGTTTTTACATAAACATTGCTATAATTTATAATAAACTTTATTTACATGATTATACTTGATAACTTTATTAGTTATCACATTCGATTTTATAATATATATTTTATAATTAGTTATTATTTATATAAATTTTGATATAAAATATTATAATATATAAGTCATGTCATTAATTTTATATATAATAAAGTCATATATTATATATACATATGTTTAATTTATACATAAGTATTACTATAAGTTATAATAGACTTTATTTATATGATTACATTTTATAACTTTATTAGTTTTCACATTAGATTTTATAACATATTGTTTATAATTAGTTATTATTTATTCGAACTTTGATATAAAACATTTTAACATATAATATATATCATTCATTATATATATAATAAAGTAATATGTTATATATACATATATTTAATTTATACATAACCATCACTATAACTTATAATAAATTTTATTTATATGATTACATTTAATAAGTGTATTAGCTATCACCTTAGATTTTATAACATATTGTTTATAATTAGTTTTTATTATATAAATTTTGATATAAAATATTATAACATATAAATTATATAATTAATTTCATATATATATTTATAGATGAAGTTTATAAGTTTTAATATTATAATTTGAAAAAAAAAAGTGATAAAATTTTGATCCATTGGTCCAAAATCGAACCAATCAAACCAATTTTATGTTTGATCGGTTTAGTCTTTTTTTATATTTGATCGGTTTTTGTCAATTTTTTAAAAATGATTGGTCCATTTGATGTAAACCAAACCATTCAATCAATCTATTTGCTCACCCTTAATTACAACTAAAAGAAAAAAATTATTTATTTTTATATTATTTTATTATAACATAGTGCAAGTTATTTATTTAAATTTGATTTTAGATATGACATTTTTTTTGAATTTTTTTATGGAAGGAGAATTTTAAACTTAATTTTTGTAAAAAAGATATAATCAAGTAAGAAAATATTTTTATATATTTTTTAATACCTTAAATCTTTTATACTTAAAGATTTAGCTTATTAATAAATATATCTATAATCTACTTGAAGATTTATATTTTTTTAATTTTTTTTCAATTTAATCTCATTTTAATTTTGTTCAATTTAGTTATTGTATTATATATTTTTGTTTAATTTAGTCTATATAACATGGCATAAAAAATATTTTTAAAATTTTTTCTATCTACCACGTGACGTTAACATGTCAACATTACCACGTTATTATATTTAAGGCCATATGGTGCTGTCATGTCATTCAGTTGGTGTCACGTGATATGTCATGTCATTATATGTGTGTCACATCATCAAAATATGTCACATTAATATTGATGTCAATGTTGACATATTTTTTTAAATAGTAAAATTGGATTTCGTCAGTGAGAGAGATTAAATATAAGTAGTTTTCAAAATAAAAAATTAAATTATTTTAATTTTGAGAATAAAGATTAAATTGAATAAAATACATGAATATGGGGACTTAATGAGTATTTTGACCAAATTTTTTTCATAAATCAAATACTATGGAAAAGTACTCCTAGTTCCTAAAACATAAATAACAAGTATTACATATGTATTTGAAATTTTAAGCCTGGCCCAAAAATTTACAACAAAGTCCAATTTTCTAAATTGGACCAGGCCTTACCAAGTGACAATATATGAGGTAAAATGGTACTAAGCCAGGCACAATTAGCCCGAATATGAGAAGTCTTGAACTCCAAAACGCACGGTCTCACTGTATCAAAAACCCTAACCCACGCCCTATATAAATCTCTTAACGCGCACCCCTTCTACTTCGCTAGGGTTTTCACTTTAAGCAAAAGAGCAGACGCCTCATTTCTGCAAAACCCTAAATAGCAAGAAATGGCGGAAAAAGCATCGATCGAGTCCGTACAATGCTTCGGTCGCAAGAAGACGGCGGTAGCAGTAACCTACTGCAAGAGAGGCCGTGGTCTGATCAAGATCAACGGTTGTCCCATCGAGCTTGTTGAGCCCGAGATCCTCCGTTTCAAGGCCGTAGAGCCAATCCTCCTTCTTGGCCGCCAACGTTTTGCTGGCGTTGACATGAGGATCCGAGTTAAAGGCGGAGGCCACACGTCTCAGATCTACGCTATCCGTCAAAGCATTGCTAAAGCCCTCGTCGCTTTTTACCAGAAGTACGTTGATGAGCAAAGCAAGAAGGAGATTAAAGACATTTTGGTCAGGTACGATAGGACTTTGCTGGTGGCTGATCCGAGAAGGTGCGAGCCCAAGAAGTTCGGTGGAAGAGGTGCTAGGGCAAGGTTCCAGAAGAGTTACCGTTGAAGAAGTTTTATGGTTTGTTTGGAGAACTGGGTTTTGTTGTTTTTCAAGAGATAATATGGTTATGTTCATTTTGGGTTAAGTTTTGTCATGTGGGGTAAAGTTAGTTATGACTGAGTTTCGGAATTTTAATTGTTTGTCTTGCTTTAATTTGAATTTAGACTCATTGCCTAAATCTACAGATATAGGCCTAAAATTATCTCGGTTTTTATTTGATATATTTCTGTTGCTTTTCAAGTTTCGCTTGGCTATTCAACGAGTGGTTAGGATTCTTTTCAAGTGGTGTAGATTTGCTTTGATAGTTATCCTTTGCGTTAGTACAGGGTTAATAACTTTACTATGCGTTTTAGACCATATTGGTGTTATAGCTTGTAGATACATTTTTGTATGTTAATATTGTTGAATTTAGTTGTGGTTTCTTATCCATTGAGCGTAATTGATAAGTTAATTTAATATTTATTGTATTACTATTTGCTATGTCTGGTGGGAAGGAATGTTTTTGAATCCAGTGTTTAGGTTAAGTCAGCCATGTGCTATATTACAGAATGAGGCAATTTCTTTCCTTATGCATTTCCTTCCTATTGCCATGCACAGCTTTGGTTGTCTTTTTTTCTGTAAGTCTTGGCAGAAATGTTGAGGACTCTGAATGAAATTTTGAATTACTGAATTCCTCTTCTGCATGCCTGACTGTTGTAGTTTCCTTCTTGCTTGTTTTATGTGTTGGTGTAGAATGTAGATATCCTTTGGTTTTCTCTAGGTGGCTTATTGGATGATTGGCCCTTCATAACATTGATAATTGAAACTTACTTTGAAAAGATACAAGTATCAGGAAAGGATGTTGACAGGGAATATCACCAAGTTACAGTAATTTAATGTTTGTTGTGATGACTATTATACTGTGGTTGGTGTGGAGGACAGTTTTGGAATCAAGGGTTTGGCTACATTATCTAATTTACTTTATTGCAGAATGACACAATTTTCTTTGCTTCTGCATTTTATTCCTCTTGCAATGCAGAGCTTTAGGTTTTCTCAATTTGTAAGTCTTGGCAGAAATATTGAAGACTTGAAAATCAAATTCAATTTGTAAAATCACTCTTCATCTTGCCAGATATTTGTAAAATCACTCTTGTACTTGTGTCTTTTTAACATGGATAAATTTCTTTAATAGTTGTGGATTTGTTGAATTCTTAGGTCTTGCGCTTACGAATGAGTTGGCTAGAGCTGTTTGGTTTAGTATAAACAATTGTTTTCAATCTTTATGCTCTGTGGTTCTGTTGTGTATTTCTTGTGCTATGATTAGACTGTGATGAAATTAAAGATGTTCTGAGTGGAAAGTCGTATGAGAAACTAACGAAGACGCAGTGGAAAACTAGCAAAAGGGCAATCAATCTTACCTGGTTTAACAAAAAGGATTAGATGGAGTTGAGTTGATGTAGTATAAGGCTCAAGTTCGAGCCAATTAAGTTTTATTTTTCTCACTCAAGTTCAACTTTTTTAGCTTCAATTACCTCAAATATGTACACTACGTTTTTGTTTATATGTTCAAACTGAGTGTTTAAGATCTTAAACTAGTCCCTTTTGTCAATTCGATTTGGTTGAGCTCACATGGACAGTGTGGTCTCTGAGTCAAGCTTGCTTTCAGGTTGGGTTAATTCTCTTGACAGCCGTAATCTTAAATAGTGTTAAAAGGCATTGTTTGATTTATGTAGTTCACCATATATAGTGGCAAAGGACTTGAGTTTAATATTCTGTTCTTCCTAATGCCCTATTCCTTCATTCACTTTTTCCTTTTGGCGATGAGAATGCTTGTCTTTGTGTTGTGGTAGTGCACACAATGACGACGTATAAATTTTCTGTTCCTCCCATATTCCTTATTTTCTCTCTGGTATGTTTTTGTTTGTGGTCTGATCAAACTTTTATTATCCTCCTTAGATTCTAGCTGATACTAATCTTGTATTAATTTTCTAAAAATTCCATGAATTTTGAAGGTAAACGGTGGAGGATTTTTGTGCATGTGAAAAGATGGATCCTAAATGTATTCTTCGTACATAAAAGTGTGGGATGGTTCATTCTTTTCCTGAATAGAAAGCCAGGGTACGAGTGTAGGTATATTGAAAATCTCAAAATTAAGAAATTGGCCCGTGGAATGAATCATGGTGGATAAGCGATTGGCATGTAACATCAATCTATGTCAATGGCAAACACGTAGGAAGAAACAAGTGTTTTGCGTCCAAGGTCAGGTGACGAGGCTTTCAAAGAGTGGCTGGGCGAATGGATGGAAGATGGAGGTTGGTTGGCCACTCTCTCTCCCAATAGTGAATGAATTCGTTCTTTAGTTAGCTGACCAGTTCCTCTCAGTCAGGCCAAACCTGGTTACCCTTCTCATTCACTCTCTGCAAGGTGGATAAATTCCAACCAAAAATAAAAGAAATTAACTTCCATTTTGTTTTTTATCGTTTGGTTTTGATTTCTAAAAGTCTGAAGGAAGACACTGATGGTTGGACAAGACTTCGATCTTTTTGAGCTTTACCAACCAGCTTAGTTGTGGCCTTTGTGGACCTCTTTGCGCTGTGCAGTCTCCATAATTTTGAAACAATATTATCTAGCTCAACAAGTCTTTGAAAGCAAAAATTTCCCCGCAAAATTGCCTGAGGCTCTTAACCTTCCTTCTCTGAAAGATAACCACGAATATTTATATTCTACGAACATATATATTCTATGGAAAGTTTACTAGTAATTGGCATAACTAGATATCTGACTGGTCATAATTCACGGCTGTGCAAATTCCAATCTGGACTAGCAGGCAGAGTTTTGTTTTTCACTCCTACTAGTCTCTGTGATGGACTTTCTCAAAGAATGCTGGCGCAACTTTACAAGGAAAGACGTGTTTGCTCATTATAAATTCCACGTTTAGTCTAGCGTAGCAGCAGCACAACTTACAAAATCGTCGTGTTGCACATGTGATGCCGCCAGCCTGAATGGTACTTAAGACGATTTTGTTTTTGAAATAAATACGCAACACTTTCAATTAGACCATGTTATTTGACGAGAAAACATTGCTAAAAGCCTAAAAAAGGCATATATGGAACCAAGTGTAGGATTTAAATTCCAAATTGTCTGGGTCCATCAAAAATGATAAGTGTAGAGTATATTCAAGGATTTGAACTCACGACAGATTTATATTTTCATCTATCTTGATAATTACTAGGAAGGGAGAGAGAAGTTTAGAAAGTCAAGTTGGAAGAAACACTCCATTTTTTTTACTCTAGGATACTCTACACTTTATAACAAGAGATCCTATCGTTTTATAGGCAAAGGAGTAGGAAATAACAAACTTTTTATAGTAAAAAGATAAAGACACATTTTACTCAATACACTGACCATAGTGATAAAATTGACACTTTTATCTAGCATACTTAAAGTCAACAACAAGATAAAAGACTTTTAGTATAGGCTTCTTTCATAAAGAAAAATTATTGGCCTTCTTTAATCATAGTTTGTATTACGATCTGAAGTGAGGTTGAGTTTCACAATCTTTTGCTGTTTTCTTTCCTTACATATGTTCATGTGTAGAGAGCGTGCCTTGAGGTCTGTATCACAATGTCCTTTGCATATTTCACATGATGGCTTTATAAAGAGTTGTACAAGCTTATCTTTATTTATCTCTCCATATTCTTAAGGGTCTTAACACCACTCATGAGGATTAAGGATCCCTTCATTGTATTCTTTTAATACTGCTTTTATTTGATCATGATATGGTCTAGGTGTCTCGAGGAAGTAATCCCAAGACATTTCTGTCTCCAATGAAGGCCAGATATGATCTGGGATAGTCCTGTTATGTTGGCAGATATGTCTTTGAAATGGTTTGCATTCTTGATGAAGTTCCCTGATATTGCAATGGAATGATCTATATGCCCATGCAGAGGGGAATGTGCCAAGCTAGGTGGCTTCTCCATGTGTGACAGAATACTAAGGCTTTTAGAGGATAAATATGACAACTTTTTTACTTTTTCCTGCTTCTAATGTGACTAATTCTTTCCAATGTTGGAGTGGACAGAACCACGTGAGGAAATCTACAAAGTTCTTTCTCCATGTTTCTATTTCTCCCTTAATTGCCTTTTCTATGAATTTCAATAGATCCATAATGTGGAGTTGGATACCAATGTGATACTTATGGTCAAGTACCAGAACATTCATTTTAATTCCTTAGAAAACTCCATGAATTCAGAGTAAAAAGGATGGACAAAGGGATGTTTAGGGTGAAGACCATAAGGTTTGAGGATAACACCACCATACTTCTGAAAGACTTTAATTTAGTATTCAAAAATTAGCTGTTCAGTCTTTTGGTGGAATGTTCCTTCTTGTACTAGTTTGAGTACTTTAATAAGGTAATCAGGATAGAGGTTTGGTGCACTAGGGTAGAGGATGAGGAAGATGAGGATGACCTATAGGTACTAGGTGTAGGTGTAAACTTGGGAGGTTTTGGTTTAAATATTTTGGATTTTAGGGTCTTGAGATGGCCTGAACAAGAAATCCATAAGTTCAGCATTCTGTCCATCTTAATAGCTAAAAAAGTGAAACTGCCTTTTGTTTGAACTTCAGCATCTATGAAAATGAAGACATATCCATGTCAACCAAAAAAAGTGTCCAATTAAATAGGACTCAAATTTAAAGATCGCCCTTTTGACTGCCAAGATTTCTTTGAAGGTGAAAAGATAGTGCATTTTAGAATTTAAATTTTTTTTGCTTTTGTATGCACATATTTGTCGTTTTTCTTAAAAAGTATTATTCCCTAATATTTATCACTGGCATCAGTGTGGAGGATTCTTTTGCCTTCGAAAGGAATTTGGAAAGGTTCCAAATTCTATAGCTTACTTTTGAGTTCTCGGATGGCTTTGGTTAAGGAGATTTCCTATTTTGGAGAGTTTTTCTTCAACATTTTTCTTAGAAGGTTAGTGTATTTTGAAAGATTTGGAACAAAATCTCTGAAATAGTTAACAATTCCAAAGAACTGTTGAACTTGTTTCTTTGTGAGGCCTTGGTCTGAAAATTTGATCAATTCTTGAGTAATGTGAGGGTTTGGCTGGTATATTCCTTAGTTAATATGCATTTTAACGAAGTTAATCTTTGACTTGAATACTTGCATCTTCTTTTTTGAGAGCATAATTCCATATTTTAAGACCAATTTTGTGAAGTGTTGAAGTAATTGAATGTGGGCTTCTTTATCTGAGCTGAATAAG